CAATTACATGCGGGCGCACAAATCTCCATTATATATAGAGAATGAGTGAGATTATTCTCAAGTTTTTATAGTGCATATTGGAAGATTTTTGCAAGAAATTAGCTTAATCAGTGAATCTGACATGATAATATACTTTTATGATTTCTCAGTATTTTGCCCTTCGTTTAAGCAGGTGTTTTTCTAACGGCTGGCTTATACAACTGAGAGTGAACTAAAATAAATCATTAGCATAACATGTTTCTTCATTGTGCCAGCAGAATATATTATTAAACACTATGGAAACTAAGACGAAATTAAAAACGTCTATAGTGGAAATTTAAGCTTTTTTGAAAAACTTGCAACCAACAGGAAATAACTTAATATAAAGGAGATAAAATAACAGAAAAAAAAAGATTTAAACCTCACCAAAGAGGTGGAGTTGAAGTTTGCGTTACTTATAACTAGATTAAAATAAATTTAGAATTTCGTTTGTCTTTAAGACAAACACTCTATATAAGATTACAAATAAAAAAATAAATAAAATAATAAATATGTAAAAATGAAGAATAGAAGAAGCAGACCACATGAGGTGGAAGAGATAAGATGGAAATACCCATGAATATTTCATTAACCCACCTTTTTATCTTCCAGGCAACCAACAGCACAATTACTTCAACTATAGCTAAGAAAAATAGTAATATGATCACACGGCCTGGCATGGCCAGGTGGATAAGGCGCTCGACTCACAATCTGAGGGTCGCGGGTTCGAATCCGCATCCCACCAAACATGCTCGCCCTTTCAGCCGTGGGGGCGTTATAATGTGACGGTCAATCCCACTATTCGTTGGTAAAAGAGTAGCCCAAGAGTTGGCGGTGGGTGGTGCAAGGCAGCTAGTCAAATTTAGCAGTGTAAGACTAGAGGGAGGGACGGCTAGCGCAGATAGCCCTCGTGTAGCTTTGCGCGAAATTCAAACCAAACCCAAACCCAATTACCTTTCGTTTGCATAATGAGGAACTAGCAAATCCACGAGGGACAAATTACAAATATCGCAGTTGACTTTGCAAACGGGAATCAATATATATCCATGAGAATATTTTTCCTGTAGTGAATAAATTGTACTAAAGTGACAGGGTATTAAAGCATGACCTCATATTTGCATATCGGAAAGCTCGCTCTTCCATGAAGAAGAAAACAAACATATTTCCGTTTGAATTTCTGAAAGAAAATCTGTACTTGTGTGAACTGTTAACTTAACATTTATAGCGTGAAATAATTTTCGAAAAACGCGATTTTTTCTAATACAGTACCTGGTATAATGTGAGTAACATTTTAGGCATTCCATTCCAATATCAAATGATTATTATGAACGTTATCTGTTATCTCTATACCTACTGATGCTCAGTGGTAAATTTGAGGGCTTATAAAGCTAAAAATTGGGTTTCGATACATATAGCTGTGTAGCTTTGCGTTTAACCACATACAAACAAATAAAAACCTATACCTCTACGTGGTTTTAAGAACAACTGTCATTGATTATTCGGTTAAATGAAGTTTAAATTTTAAGTTTCAAAGTAAAAACTATAAAGCCTCTCAACGTTCTTGGCTCGATGACATTTATGAAACTCGAAAAAAGCTGTGAAGAGATAATAATTCTAGCTCCTAAATATCTTATAGTCTTAAAGAAATAAAATACTAATGAGAAGATGTAATGATAGTTGGTCACGTACAAAACAGGCAAAAATTAAAACTCTGAAACTCTTACAATACTTCCCATATCTTTTCATGGTTGCTGAAAATTAATTAGAGGCATGAGTGTTTGGCTTGCAGATAAGAGGGATGGAATTTTATTATAGATTAAAATGTACTTTTACATTATTAAGGCAGACTGCGTTTGCGTGATATCATGTATTCATAACTCAACATGCGAATTATATTCTTTTCATTAGTTAGATGGGTTACACATCACATAAGAACAGTTTGTCTTAGTCATGTCAAGGGTAAATTGAATGAAGTGTAAAATGGGCGGTGGCTCGATGAGTTGCCCTTAGAAATTGGTGTGTAGCTCTTGGGAATTCACTCTATTTAATGTTTTAATAATAATATATATATGTGTATTACATTCCCAGTGGGAGAGCGGTAAGTTTACAACGCTAAAATCCGGCGTTAGATTCCACGCCGTAAAAATAGCAGATATCTCAATGTGGCTTTCCTCTAAAACAAACAAACAATGTATATTGTAAATCATGATTTATGATATGTATTTATAATCCGTGTTAAAAACTAAATACAAAACATTGTAGAATTTGCCCAGTTCCTGTCCTCAGTGTGTGTGTATTTGTTTGTTTGTAGCTTAAGCAAACAGCTACACGATGGGCTATCTGTGCTGTGCCCACCACATGTATCGAAACCAGGTTTTTTGTCTTATAAGCCTTCAGACGTACCAGTGAGCCGGGGAGGAGGAGGGCTTCTCATTGTGTAACTTAAAGACATATTTTCTATTTAAACGCGTTATAGAATCCACTCAAAAAGTAAACTACTTTGAATTTTCAAAACAACATTAATGCTTGAACGTTACTCGCCACGCGACCTTCTCAGAGGTGAGTGTGATACAGAATAGGTTTTCAATGAGTTAAAATTTATTTTTCATTGTACAATAATTTCTGTAGTGTTTGATATATATATATATATATACGCATTTTTTATTTTCACATGCTCTTACCTTTATGAATTATTTTATGATTTGGTTTTCTGTTTTATAGTTGCTCTTAAGGAATGTTAAAAATAGAAGGGTTTGGGTTAGAGCGCAGCCACATTGTGTTATCTACTGTGTTCATCGCGGGAATCGAACTCCGAATTTTAGAGTTGTAAGTCATTATACTTGCCACTGTCTCACAGGGTGGGAACTGAAAAAAAAGAGTAGGAACAGAAGTTGTTGCTGTTTTATTTTAAAATGTATAAAATACGTTTTTGTGGATTCGTTATTTTGCATTTTTTTACAATTTCCTCTTTCTTGCATACGTTTTCAACACACTACGCCATGGGATTAAAATAAATTTTGTACTTAATAAAAAAACTAATATACAGATAGCTGTATTTTTTATTTTGTAGGTAGATAATAGATAGATAATTTGATGTATATTTAAAAATATTAATTTTCATATTCAATCTTCACATTATGCTTTCTTTAGAGCTGGTGAACCATTACCTGAGGCTTAAAAAGAAGAATTTTCTACTTAATATTACGAGGTTTTGTATACATCAATGATTAATATTTCCTTTGCGTGAAACGAATTCTAGTATGACATACGACAAACTCGGTGAAATATTTACTCTGATACCCTTTGCTTAATCAATTATTATAACTCTTTAGAACTTCATGCATAAATTGTTTTGTTGTTGATTAAATAAGTGATTAATTAAACCAGATGGGTATATATTCATTTTATAGAAGGAAAAGAAATATTAATGTATTGAAAAGCGGAAGTGTATAAACTAAAAGAGCTTTTCTATAAGATTTATTTTACGACATTACATTGGCTATTTGAAGATTCTGTTGGAAGCACTTGATTTAATTTTAAAAAGCATTGAAATAAAATAGATATAGTGATTTTTATTTTATTTTTTTTAGTTTCGTGCAAAGCCACGTGAGGGCTATCCGCGTTAACCGAGTATATTCGGGGAAGGGGATTTGAACCAGCGACCGTCCGATGGCGAGTCAAGCGCCTTAATTAACCACCGGGCCAAATAGATGGTGTGAGGATAGACCTATAATTTCTTCTAATTACAAGAAACAAAAATCAGGATCATATTTCTTTTCCTTTCTCATAAATAAAAAGGCAAAAAAAGATATTTTACTACTGGATACAAGTAATCTTCAAAGTGGCATATTATCCTGAATATGAAAAATATATCAGGTTTTTTAGTTTATGTTAGGTGACGCTCCACCTCCAAATTTCTAAAACATTACAAATAATGTTATTTTTACTTTCAGAGATTGTGTTATACTTATAATTTTGATGTTCGAAACCATGTTTTAGTTTTTTTCTGTGTTTTCACGCCAAGTGACCTCTTTCTTTAGTTCATGGTATTACAGAGTTTTTAAAAATAGTTTTTTTTTGTGAGATTATGTAAACATTTCTAGCCTGTTAGTTTTGAATGGTTTAGCATGAAAAAATAACATACAGGTCAATGACCTACTAACAAGCTATAAATACTTTGGCAACTGTCTCGTAATTCACTCCTGAGGATGACGTTGTAAAGTCGAAACACGTAGAGTCGTCAACTTTTTTATAGGCCATAGATAGGCCT